GTATGTTATGAATCCTATATGTCAGCAACAGAAGATTTAATTACTAGCAATTCTGATCGTTTCTCGAATCGCGTAACAAAACTAATTCAATTCCCTGCGCTCTTAGGCACCTAGACTCAACGGTAAACACAAGTGAAGATATCTGTAACGCTGTTTTCCAGTTATTTTCACCCCACTTTTGTTAATTCGAGTAACTCATTTAATACTATAAACTCATAACAATTAAAAACATTTAATAGCTCCGACTTCAATGGTATTGCAATTAAAATAGATGAAGTGGAAAAACTTTTGTCCAAGCTAAACCTTAATAAATCCATCCGGGTTTCTTACTCGGATGTGCCAAAAGAATTGCATTGCCCATAGCTCTCCTATTTCAAAAGTTCTTTTGCGGAGTGCACGGTTCCACAAATATGGCAATCAGCTTACTTTACTCCTGTTCACAAGTAAGGTCCTAAAACGGCATTAACCAACGTTCCCCGTTTCCACTGGTTTTTAGTACTTTGAGACAAATTTTACACGAAGCTGTATAATTTTAATTTTTTTAAATACTACCAAATTTCGCTGGTTTCTCCTGGCGGCGACATCTTCTTGAGATTGATTTAACTTTGAGTAACATATTATTTTTAATTTTATTTCGAGTAAGACGAGACCAACGCGAAAGAACAATGTCATACAGTAGGCACCTTCTCTACAACTCACATATTTTGGTGACTTAGTGTGCCTACTTGTTATTTCAAAAATATGTCAGAGAAGTACTTTCCTATAACTAAGAATCTGAAAGATGCTGTGCAAATAATGCAATAATACTATTTGTAACTGTCTGGATCTAATTTTAATAAAGATTATCATTAAAATAAAGAAAAGTAGCCAAATGGAGTGAATCTAATAAAGAAATTCGATACATACTGTAGTTTTATTAGAAAAAAGAAAATATGCGACTCAAGCCGCAAGAAAAAAAATTGTGACGAACCTAATGCAGTGTCAATAAGAGTGGCATAGAGTCGATTAAAGCGATTTGTGTACGGGAATTTGATGTCAAAGATGCAGCTCGCTCTGGTCGCCCTCATACGGATAGTCGATGCCATTTTTTAAAGTGGAGCAATATCCGCATATAGTTATGACAAAGCCGCGAAACTGGGAAATAATTACAAAACAGATACACCCATTTTAAAGTCTGGCTATTCAAGAAAGCTGGATATTTGGGCTCACTGAAAGAAACCTAATGAATAGTGCACTCTTTTGAGATTCTCGTTTCGTACGTAGGTCACTATATATGTACATTTTGAGATACGCAAAAGTAAACAATAAATTTTGAAAAAAGTGATGTTAGCAAAACTGGTAACATTTTTACATTGTCGAGGTTTCCTTTAATAAAAGCTGTAGTAAATAACAACAACAGTAAATACAATTCAAGAGGTATTCCAAGTTATTATCAACAATTGTACATAGATCAGTATAGTCCGACGGTAGTAAATAAGAACAACAGTAAATACAATCAAAATGTATTCCAAGTTCTTACCAATAATTGTACATAGATGGGTACGGTCTGATTGTAGAAAATAAAGACAATAGTAAATACAATTAAAGATGTATTCCAAGGTCTTACCAACAGTCATACATATATCCGGAGAGTAGTAAATAAAGATAGCAGTAAAGTAGTACAGACCGACGGCTCGAGCGAGAATGACCGAGTACTAGCGCTGGTTGAAGACCAGCGCTAGTACTCGGTACCGTCCCGCAGGGTACGTGTGGTGGCTGGATCGGGGCTTTTGCCCCTGCCAGCGGTGTCTACTGCTACCTCTAAACAGGGGTAGGTCATGGGATTACCTTGACGGTGTTGGTTGTTCTGTGGGGTACCGTTTCGGTCTTCACGCACCCTGGCGATCAGCCCGACCCAGGTGAGACCCCAGCCGACACCTGGGGAGGCCCAGCTCCGAGCCGGCAGCTCCGGCCGCTCGATCAGCGATAGAGGTGGCGACTTTCGCGCGGTTCCCCATTGTGTGTGTGTTGGGGCAGTCCGCACCGCAACGCGGTCTGCGGAGTGCCTCGTTGTGTTGCTCCTGCTGCCGCGCCGTCGCCCCGTCTCTCGCCGACGCGACTGTAGTGTGTGAGCGCACTGCCATTTATTCCTGAATGAAACGTCCCGCGCTTCGACGCGGACGCCGTCTCGACTCTAGCTCGTGTGTGTGACGCGCCTTACAATCATCTGTCGCATTCACTTAGCCACTTTTCAAATAATGAGTTTTTTTGTAAATCCGTTCATTTTTTTATTTTCTTTTACACAAACCTTGTCCTGACAATAACGAACACAAAAAAAAGAATTATCCAATTTGGTGCAGTCGTTCAAAAGTTACGTGCGTACTAGTACATTTTGGCGATTCATTTTTATTTGTATAGATTTTTTCAAAATACCCTCTATCACTCTTTATACAAATTTACTGGACAACCTTCCCTAACCTCCACCACCACTCGGAATATCCGGTGTTTCAGAAAGGAGGAGACCACACTACTCACCGGGTTTACCACTCGGTGACGTCGCTAGCTTGTAAAGCAGACCGGTGTGACCGAATGCCTTCTCCATGTCGAAGCGTACTGCAACGGCGTCTTCGCGCTGAAGATTTTTATTCAACATTTCAGCTTCTATTGAATATAATGCGAATATATGTTTGTATGTGTGTAGATACATATACATATATGTATAGTGTATGCATGAGTATTTATATATATGTGTATGTATATGTATATACATATATGTACATGTGTGTATAGTGTGTATTTGCCTGTGTATAAAAATACGTGTGTTGAGTAGTGTATATTATAGTGATTAGTATTATAACCTATATGCGCCTACCACTCACGATTTCTACACTACCTAAAGGTTGACTAGGAGAGAATGCCGGGTTGGTTATTTAACCAACCAGTGATTATTTCTTAATAAATTGTTCTATAATTATTGATCAGATCAATGAACAGTAGGAATAGTTGAGAAATAAAATAATGTTTTTATTCATATCTTATGTAATAATAATGTAATAATAATAATTATTTAAAAATTACAATTATTTCTAAACAATACTATACGCTAAAAATTAAATGCTTAACAATGTCATTGCGTAAAATCAGAAAATATAAGATAATAAAAATTCTGCTCAGTCATTGTCATTGTTTATCAATCACCAAGCGTTTAAAATTTCATCTAGCCACTTTGCCTGGGGTAACGGTTTCACTTGTCTCTTGTCTCCCCTGTAGGAGAGACATCAGGATTATTTCCTCCTATTGTTAGCCTCATCCGTTTCAGCGGATAGTGTCCTTTCCTCCAAAAGTTCTTTATCAAATAGCCCTTTGCCCCAATTGTTCTTTCTCAGAATGTCCTTTCTCAAACTGTTGTTTTCTCTAAATGTCCCTTTCTCAATATGTCCTTCTCCCGGAAATAACCTTCCTCAACTTATACACTACAAGTTAAAATCTTCACTAGACATGTACATGTAACTTCTATAACGTAAGCAGTTCAGATCTAGTCTCAATACTAACCTAACCCTAACATTTCTGTAAGCTAGTGAACTTTTCATTCAACTACTACAACGTAGGCAGTTCTGGCACTTGCCGGATAAATATTGGAGATTCTGCGAACTGGACATTCTGCTAACCGGATATTTTGCAAACTGGATATTAGTGGAACTGGACATTCTGCCACCTTTACATTCTGCGACCGCTGGACATTTTGCGCTTTCTGTGCCACACCCCCACATTTGAGGATCTAATAAACAAAAGTGAATAGGTAGGTGCGTCATGCACACGTATTGTTATTAATGTTACGCTTGACATATACGATGGGGATATACGAATACAAAAAAAAAGAAAAACACCTGATGTCTCCGAGGGGGGCCGCCCGGCCGTCAGAGGAGACACGAGACGAAGATCAACTGTTCGGGCTGACCGTTACCTTTGCCTAAGTAGGCGTCTTTCTATCTGAAGAGGGGTTAGGGTTCCCGTTCTCCTTTGTGTGATCTGTTTATGTGTCGGTTAAATCTGCAGGGGATTCTCGGAGAGAGCGTTCCTGTAACACTCATTTATTTATTTTTAGTCGGTTCAAGTTCGAGATACCACTTTTAACTCAGCTGTGGTGAAGTAATAACCCGTGGGGGTAGCCATGAGAAAAAAAAAATCGCCCCTTTGGCTTTTACTATCTCCGCTTGATCCGATTTCACATAAATAAAAAAATTAAGCAATGTAGTTGTCAGAAAAAAACTATTTCTACACTGACAAATATTATACTCATAATTACGGTGCGATAATCGTACAGTGGTGTCCAAAAACTTTTAAGTTTTCTACATTTAGATATTGACTTGGACTGGGTGTGGGTGTTGTTACCAACATTATACTAACAAATAACACATAGTCCAGCTCAATAACTAAAAGGAAGTGTTTAACGAAGTCGCAAAACTATAAACCGATAGGTGACAGGGTACGGAGTACTTACAATGTTGTTTCCGTACCGATACTAGCTGAATGCCGCGTAGAAACAGCTTTTTCACTATGCTAACATACTTATATGCTATGGGAGAGCCATGCTTATGCGCAAAAGGGGCGGTATCCATCAGAGAGATACCACTGCCTCACAGACAACCAGTGTTAAGCAATTCTCTTGCTGCTTTTCACCAAGTGAGGTAACTTGAGCAAACCTCCCGCCTTTAACTGATTCTGTATGGACAGAACTCATAGAGCGGCAGCTCACTTGTGACTGTTGTTTTGCCTAGTGGTCACTTACCATCAAATTACCCGTCTGTCCGTTTGCCCCCAAATGGCATAAATTTAAAAAAAGTCCATTAGGTAGCTGAAGATCAATTACCTACTAAATCAACTTAAGCCTACGGCCATAATTCCTATTGCCTTAGTTTAACACTTATACCTAATACATATGATTTCAAGTAATTCTACAAATATCTCTCGTGTAGGAACTATTATTTGATAAGTCGCTGTAGTTTGTGTGTTAAGAATATCTAGAAGACGGCGATGAAGGTGGTCATTATTGTTGGCCCTTTTGTGACATTGGTTATGGATTTGCCGGTTTCTGTACAATTTAGCCTCATCGGTGCATTTGATGGTATACTGTTTCTGTGGAAAAGAGAAAGCAAGTTAGGAATGGAAACTTCAAACTGGCATAAAGTTTTATATTAGTACATATTGTACGTGACTTGTTTAGCGGTGAGAGAAAAATATCACGATGGCTTTGCATACACGAAGTGCAGCAATAAAAGAAAACTGTATATACAAATTCTACTAAGTACAACAATTTATTACTTTATACTTGGCTAGGTTTTCTCCTTAATATCACATCAAGAAAATGGACAAAATCCTTAGATACAATCCAAAATCTTGATAATTTATTATTAGATCAAATTAAGATTATTTTGGAAAAATTGTCACAAACTATTCCATTATTTTAATAATTTACTAATGTTTTGTCGATCATTAAATCATTAGAGAGGAGGTAGGGCAGGGAGCTTATACGAATTAATTGCGAAATTAAAAGCTTCCTACCACCTTAATTATTACCTGTCAAATTTTTTTTTTGGTATATTACATTGCGTTGAAACTATCTTCACCATGTCTTCAACGAGTTCAAGTTCCAAAATGTTCCTTGCTGTACGATTCATGACTGTTTGACGGTCAAAGAATGCGTTACCATAGCACTGGAATTACGTTTACAAAGTTTAATATATTGATCGAAAAACCGGTATCAAAAATTTTAGATTAAAGATTTTAAAAATTAATTGTGAGTTGAAAAGTATTTGATGTTTATAAATTATTGTTACTATTTTTATTATATGTTAGATAATGATATTGATAAAAATAACTATGATTTTACCTGGCAAGACTCCATTTGATCATTTCTTAGCTGTCATTAGTCATAGACAATTTTTTAACGATATCACAAACTAGCGATGCTAGTTGAATGCTGCGTAGAAACAGCTTTTTTACCATGCTGACATAACAAAAAAATAATCTTACCAATACTACTACAGTAATATACTACTATATCAACTAAGCCTACGGACATAATTCCTACTGTCTTAATTATAACGCTTATACCTGGTACACGTTTTTAAATGACTGAGTTTGTAACTTTTCTCGCGTAGGAACTAGTTTGTTTAGCATCCCTAGTTTGAGTGTTAAGGATTACTAGACGATGACTATGAAGGTGGTAATTTTTAGTCATTTTGGGGCCTTTTGTGACGGTGGTTATGGATTTTTCGGATTCTGTACAATTTAGCCTCATCGGTGTATTTGATGGTATACTACTTCTGTGGAAAAGAGAAAACAAGTTAGGAGGGGGAACTTAAAACTGGCAAAAATTTTTATATCTGTGCATATTGCACCAACAATGACTTGTTTGGCATTAAGAGAAAAATATCACGACATCGCATTTCAGACACAAAGTGTAGTACTTCGGTACTACACTTTGTGTCTGAAATGCGATGTCGTGATATGATGTGATGGATGAAAACTATAAATACAAATTCTATAAAACCAAAGTACAACCATTATTACTTTATACTTGGCTAGGTTTTCTCCTTAAAATAACATCGAAATGAACATAATCGTTAGAGAAAATCCAAAAAGCTTGATATGTCAAAATCCTTAATCAAATTAATATTGTTTTGGAAAACATGCTTACAAACGATTCCATTATTTTAATACTACTACCGTAATTATTACCTGTCAATTTTTTTTGGTACATAAAATCGCGCTGAAACTATCTTCACGATGTTTTCGACGAGTTTGGGATCCAAATTTTCCTTTACTGGACGATTCATACACGTTGATGACTATTTGAGAGAATGCGTTGTCAATACACTGGAATTACGTTAACAAAGTTAAGTATAGTGGTAGAAAAAGCGCTGTCCAAATTTGTAAATTTAAATTTTAAAAGTTAAACGTGAGTTGAAAAGTATATGATGTTAAATTAGTGTTATTATATCCATTTTGAATTAGGTAATGATATTGTTAAAAATAACTACACTCTTACCTGGCTGAAATATCTGGCAAGACTCCATTTTTATAATTTCTTAGCTGTCATTAGTCATAGATAATTTATTAAAAGAATCTAACGGAAGGAACTAATAACGATAGGACAAAACAAAAAAAGTGACAAAACCACCGATTAACTACAATGTGGTTTCTAAGTCGATACTAGTTGAATGCTGCGTAGAAACAGCTTTAACATAATAAAACAATAATCCAAAAATGATTGCGATGAATGGAGAACCTCCTCCTTTTTTGGAGCCAGTTAATAAATGAAGATTAATTACCTACTACTACATCAACTAAGCCTACGGCCTTAATTCCTAATTTTTTAGCTATAATACTAAGAGCCGAAGCACGTAACCGTGTCGCGACACCCGAGCGTTGCGTTACCGCGAAATAAAGCGTGAACATTATTCTGTGATTAGTTAGATTTGATAGAGGTAAATAAATCGATCATAAATCGTGATAAGTGTATTGCACTTTAGTTATTAAGTAGATATTCCACCAAACTAAAAAGACGACAGAGAAGATATTGGATACATCCACTTAATGAGATTATGAATCCTGATGGAGAGTTGTGACTAGAATCCCATACCGTGGGGCGTTCCTCGACCGAAAGATATCAACAATTCTCTGTGATTTTTCTGAAACGTTATTTTTTTAAACTATTGCTGCTACTTGTCCGCGTGCTGACGGATTTAGAATACGGAATGTCACCACCCCTATTCATCCCGTGGGTGTCGTAAGAGCCGACTGAGGGAACAAAACAACGCAGGACAACAGCACTGCAAAGATAAGGAACACATGAAACAAACCCTATACCAACCCGTCTGGCCAACGTGGTACAGTAGACCAAACCCTCCTTTCTAAGGAGAGGCCTATGTCCAGCAGTGGACTGTTATAGGCTGTTGGTGATGATGATTGCTACTACTGTGTAAAAACCTCTTGTTTCCAAGCGTGCTACAAATAAACTGAAATGATTGTCAACAAGTGTGTCGTTAAAACGCTTGAATGTGCGGCGCGTCGTACACCTCAAATTTCTGAGTTGCGGCGGGCGACGCCGCCGATTCCAACGTTACGTTACTGCAACGCGGTTATGTGTTTCGGCCCTTATACTTGTAGTCAATTCGCGTTACGAAAATAGTTACGAATCTTTATTCATTCATCAAGCCTCGCACCTGACCAATCAGGTTCCAAACCTGCGCATGAAATGATAACTTCTTTGATACTGATGGGTCAGGAGTCGGGTCTTGATCGATGCGTCACTATTTTTTTAACTCAAATGGATTATAGTATACATTTTTTAAGTTCTTCTACAGTTTGATAAGAGGCTTTAGTTTTTGTCTTGAGAATCTTTAGACGATGGGGATGAAGGTGGTCTATTTTCATCATTGTGGGGCTTTTTCCGTTTTTGGGCTTGCAATTGCCGGTTTCTGTACAATTTTGCCTCATCGGTGCATTTGATAGTTATACTATTTCTGTGGAAAAGAGAAAGTAAGTTAAAAGGGGCAACTTAAAACTGTTATAAAATATATATTTTTTTGCATATCGCACCAATTGCGACTTGTTTGGCGGTAAGAAAAAAATATTAAATCGTCGCTTTTCAGAAACAAAGTGGAGTAACTAAGTATGTGATAAAAAAACAACAAAAACAAATTTTACAAAACTGAAGTACAACTACTTTATACTTGGCTTGGTGTTTCCCTTAATACAACATCGCAATACGAACAAGAATTCTTAGGAAAAAGCCAAAAATCTTAGAGAAAATTTATTATTAGATCAAATTTTTCATTTCAAATTAAACTGTATTTTGGAAAAAAAAATTGAAACGATTCCATTATTTTAATACTAAGTAATGTTTTGTCAGTCATAAAATTAGTAGAGAGTCGTTGGGGAGGTTAAAAGAATCAATTAAAAAGTGGATTCTTTCCAGAGTAATTATTACCTGACTAGACTTTTTGGTACACTACATCGCGTTGAAACTATCTTCACGATGTCTTCGACGAGTTTGGGATCCAAAATTTTCTTTGCTGGACGATTCATAAACGCTGGTGACTGTTTGCCGGTTAAAGAGTGCGTCGCCAATACACTGGAATTACGTTTTACAAAGTTAAGTATAGTCATAGAAAAAGCGGTGTCAAAAATTGTAGATTAAAGATTTTAAAAATTAATTGAAATTTGAAAAGTATATGCTTATATGCTTATACATTTTGTTTATAGTTCTATTTTCGCTTTTTAATGATATTGATGAAAATTACTAAGATCGTACCTAAATTATCTGACAAGACTGCCATTTTTAACTTTTCTTATCTGTCATTAGTCATAGATAATTTATTTAGAATTCGAAAAGAGGATTTATATTTTACAATGGAATCAAAAGTAGTGTGATTGAAATGTAACTTGTTCAAGAAACTAAACCGAAGGAGGCCTCACACGAAAGCAGTAGTCACGATTTGACTGACATGTACAATTGTAAAAATTCACTAATAATAAATAAAGAAAGGAAAAAGAAAGCAATGGTCAAGGAACTTCTAAAAAAAAATAGTAACGTCAGTCTAAATGCAGCGTTCGGCGGCAGAGTGAGGATCGCTTTTTGCATTTGCGATTTATTATTATTTATTATTCTTATTAAACATAGAATAGAAATGTATCAAAACTAATTAAATCAATGGAACACAATATAGTTGTAGTTAAGGTTTTAATATGAACGCACATAGGTATTTAGGTATGTTTGTTTACCAAGTACATATTTGCCTTCTATAATTATTACATTCATATTATACATAGAAAACATTATAACTCTCATCAAAATTTGATCCGACCCGGGAATCGAAACCGAGACCTCAGCACAGCAGTCGCATACGCTACCACTGCACCACCGAGGCAGTCAAATTAAACGATGGATTTTATTGATTAATGAAATATGAAACACCCCTATTAAATTATTCGGAAGTGTACTCGTGCTATTAAGTACGAGAAGACAAATCACGAGCAGCGAAATGGCCGACGTTATGATTTAATTGCTACCGCCCTATTGCCGCCACCAAAGGCACCCAAAAATCGACGTTTGCGCAGGTGAAGGTCAGCGTCAGTGTTAAATCAAACAAAGTATATTTTTTATTTAAATATAATATAAAAAAGACAGCTGATTGATTAATAAGCTTTGAAAATAAATTGTACCATTTTGACACATTTACTGATTGGTGCTTGCAATAGGGAATATGCATGTATTTTTTTTTATTTTTTTAAACGATTCTACTAGTTATTACATTACCAAAAATAAATATAACACATCCGAAATATAAACCGTTAAGCAAAAAAAAATTATTAAAATCACTATAATTTTTGGGCAATTTGGACACGTCCATTTTGGCGCGCTTTTTTTATGACGTCAGATTACACTTTCAGACGAATTAGATGTCAACAACGGAGTGAAGTTCACAAAGTTTGTGAAAGTTAAAAAAGTGAGTGATAATAATTAACTTATTACCATGGAAAAGCAATATTGTGCCGTTCCTTTGTGCCAAAATAATATCAAAACTGCACCTGACAAAGTATATTCAGTCATTGTGTTGAGTCTTTCTACACGGGAATTTAATAATTTAACACTGAAAACGTATTAGTTATTAACTTAAAATGAAACAAATAATCACCAGAAACCAAATGTTACAAATACATACAACTTGTTGAAACTCTTGACAGTGTAGGTTGACGTCACGTTTTATTCAACCAATAGCGTTGCGTTTTAGAAATTTGCGAGGGAATCTTAAAAAAGCCAATTTTTGATGATTAAATTTCACTATTAAATTATAATAAATTTCAAAAATAATTGTATGGGTATCTTTTTTTAGCAATAAAAATTACAAATAAAAATATTTTGTCCATTTTGGTGTCACGTGCATGTTCCCTATTACTTGACTCACGGCCAAAAAAATCTATTTTCCTCAAGTTCCTCAATAAATTAATAATTAACTTTTCTTCGTCCGTATTATAATAGGCTTTCTATCAATAGATCTATTTAATTAAATAGCTATTTCCAATTGTCAAACATACTGTCAACTCGCAGATTATACCAATTGTGTATGAAGTGTAAATAAATAAATTCACAATAATAGTGCTCTAAAGTTTAGATATAGCAATGCTTTTTAAGGTAAGGTGACTTGGTTTGTGTATTGCATTTGCTTTACCCGACTTCTTAAAGAAGGCTAGATCGATTTGGAAAACTCTTTTTTTATTTGTAAGGGTATTTTTTATAGTTCTACTGTCAAAAAGGAACACTTATAGTTCCGGCTCGGAGAAGCCAATCCAGCTAAAATAATAAAGCTAATCCCTCCGACAAAGCGGAAAAGTTAAACCTATTTTCATTTTTGTTTTTTTTTTCTGTTACATTACGTTCCGTAGATGTAAAATGAGGATGATTTTTTTTCTCATCATTCCCGTGATGTGTGATGTCCTGTCCCTTATAGGTCTTTCAAAAATATTGTTGTAAGACACCACTTCTCGATTCGGGGAGCCGTTAGTCAAATATAAAGTTTTTATGTGCTAGTCCTTCTAATTTTTTTAAATAACTACTCTTGTTCAGTTGGATTTATACTCCTTTCTTCTGTTACCATCGTCGTAATTAAAGTATCTTCTGTTCATGTACACATTAAGAACAACTGTATTGGCCTGTTTCTGTGCAGATACGAAAAAAGTTGGCCTTAGCCTTGTTTTGAATAAAAATATTTTTAATAATAACGAAAGATTCGTTACTGTAATAAGTAGAAAAAGCATTCAACTTTACCTTCTAGGGAACACTGCTTGGAGCAGCTGCCTTGTAGCTGTTGTGTGCAGGGTCCAGTCAATACTGTCGAGTACTCTTTTAGGCACTTTAGCATTACCGTTACCAATTGCCACCTGTTAAGAAATACATCAGAATTTTAATTACACTTTAGCAGTATTCTCATATGGCTTCAATATATGATCATTTTAAATGATCATGAATGCTTGCACCATACCCTCCGTTGGGGTAATGGAGTGTGGGACCCTCGGAGAACCGGTCTACCCCTCTAAATCCCGCGGCGGCTTAACTCGGAAGTCGGAAGGAGCTCCAGGAATGCATCGGCACTTCTAGAGTGCTCCCTGCCGTACCCCATGATTGAGGTACATCCCAGAGTGACCATGATCATCCCTAGGGCAGGATGCTGCCGCGCGCCGCACAGTAAGAGGCGCAACAGGGCCCCTCCTTAGACGACACCCCCCTGGCCGCACCGGAGTGTCACCTTTCTCGGGTCGTTTGCAGCGGCCACATCACCCCAAGATGTAGCCGACCCTTAGGCAGCGATTTGAGAGCTAGTGACTTCTGCCGCGTCCCCTTCGCTACCTGCTTCGAGGATCAGCCCTATCCCGATCCCGCTCTGCCGCCTCCTTCTGGATCATATTTTAGCTGACGGCGCTGACGAATAGTGAGCCAGTTCAATTCGCTACGAACCGCTACAACCTAGGACTCATAAATATCTATACATCTGCTAATATTCAGCGATATGGCCCTTTACTACAGTATTTATGCTTTTTGCTTGACAGTGTGAAACTAATAATGCGACGTTGTCATTAATAATAGGACTGTATCAATATTACAACGTTTCTTACTATCTGTATTATTTGATAAGAGTATTTAGAGTCTTTGTCTACATATTTTTTATTTTTATACTTTATGCACAAGTGTGGGTTGTACAACGGCGGACTTAATGCCACAGGCACTTTGTCCCAGTCTACCTTAGGGTGGTCCTGAAATGTGTGACTAGGTGCACTAGAGATTGATATGTACGAGTAAAGTAAGAGACAATTATTGAGAAGTTAGACAGAAACACTGAGATAAATACATGCATACGAACGTACCAAATACATACACATACATACATCAAATCTTACCTAGTTACATACATATGTACCTAAACCTACATATTGAGGTTAAGTTACATTAGGGTTGTTATGAATCTATGATTAATGATTAATGTTATGAATCGAACTTTTATCTTGAATGAGAGGCAGCCGCCCCCTATCTATCATAATTTCTGATGCTATCATAATTTCCTGAGGGAAAGCGTTTCGGAGGAGCACCGATTGGATTAGGAACAAGAAGTGGACACAAGCGGAAGTATGAGTGGGGCATAGCAGAAGCGGATTGATTGATGAACGGAGGTTTTTATCGTGGTTGGAACACAGATATTGAAATAAAGATGTCAGGTATGGGCGAGTTGAGAATAGAATAGAGGGTAGTGTGGGCGCGCAGCTGACGGCGCTGACTAATAGTGAGCCAGTTCAATTCGCTACGAAAGGAGGAAACATGGTCATATTTGCGAAGGTTGAAGACGAATCGAATGCAGTTTGCAGGTTTGCCAGCTGAGCTTGGAGTCGATAGTAATATTATTGATATTATGCAGTTCCATATTTATGATGTCACGGAGTGTTTAAAATTAAAAGGCAAATCTGTTTAGATTCTTATGAAACTTACTATAGATTTAATTCTTGATTCATGAATATTAAAGAACTCAACTGTACCAGACTGACATTATAGACCTCGAACGTGGCTGCTTAATTGTACGTTTATAACTATGTATGTAAATATTTTTACATTTTGTTTTTAAATTGTTAAATTGATTAAGAGAGTACTCGACGAAGTCAGGTCATTCGGTATTTAGGAATATGAACAGTCAGTGTCAATGAAAGAAAAACACTTACCATATCAGTATCTTGTGTTTGTAGATCTCCAATGTTTCTTGTTTGCGCGGATTTTGTTAAGACGTTAGTTGTAATTTTCGTAGGGGTATTGGAAATTTCAGCCACATCATTTCTTTCAACTATTCGAGATGGTCCTGCTTGTTGCACGGGCCATTTAGGAATCAGGCCATAATTTCTTTGGACATTATCTGTAGTTCTCGTAGAGGTATCCTGAATTTGAGCTATAGGATTTTCTTCACCTATATGAGAAGGTCCTGTTTGTTGCACGGTCCTTTTGGGACCTTCAGTGAGGCCATAATTTCTTAGGACATTAACTTTAATTTTTGAAAGGGCATTATGAATTTGATCTAAAGCATTTTTTTCCACTACTTTTAGAGACGGTTCTGCTTCTTGAGAAGGCCTTTTACGATCTCGACCTGGTCCAGAATTTCTCAGGAAATCGGCTGTAGTTCTCGTAGAAGTATCCTGAATTTGAACTACAGGATTTTCTTCCACTATTTGAGACGGTCCTGCTTGTTGCGCGGGCCTTTTACGATCTCGAATCGGGCTAGAATTTCTTAGGACATCGGCTATAGATCTCGTAGAGGTATCCCGAATTTGAGCTACAGGATTTTCTTCTACTATTCGAGACGGTCCTACTTGATGCGCGGGCCTTTTACGATCTTGAATTGGACCAGAATTTCTTAGGACATTAGCTTTAGTTCTCACAGTGGTATCCTGTATTTGAGCTACAGGATTTTCTTCCACTATTCGAGACGGGCCTGCTTGTTGCACGGTCCTTTTAGGATCTTCAAATAGGTCAAAATTTCTTAGGACATTAGCTTTAGTCCTCGTAGAGGTGTCTTGGATTTGAGCTACAGGATATTCTTCCACAATTCGAAGCGGTCCTGCTTGTTGCGTGGGGCTTTTACGATGTCGTGTTGCACCAGAATTTCTTAGGACATTAGCTTTAGTTCTCGTAGAGGTGTTCTGAATTTGAGCTACAGGATATTCTTCCACAATTCGAGACGGACCTGCTTGTTGCGCTGGGCTTTTACGATGTCGTGTTGCACCAGAACTTCTTAGGGCATTAGCTTTAGTCCTTGTAGAGGTATTCTGGATTTGAGCCACAGGATTTCTTTCCGCTATTCGAGACGGTCCTGCTTGATTAAATATACTTGTAGTCGTTTCGGGACTACGTTCAAAATTATTATGATAATGTTTTGGAGAATGTTCACCAGTTGTTACTGATAGTTCACTTTCAGGTGAGGTTAAATTTGATGACTTTTTAGCTTTATTTACAAACGTTTCCAACGCGTTCTGAAATTGGCTATGAGCGCTCTTGATATCCAATTCGATTTCTGAAATTTGCTGTAATAGCAGATTATTGTTTTCTTGTGCACAGGCGTCATTTGTGGGCAACGGGGTGCTACGATGCATGGGATCTTCTCTTATTTCTTGAATTGGATCCACATTGGATTTTCTACGGTTGTAGATTGGATGAAATAGATCAAACCCTTGTGTTGTCTCTCTGTTACCTTCCCGAATGAGGTTATTAACCTGCAACAAATTTGTCGGTTATATTAAACGATTTAAATGTATCTGTTTATTTCTTTGTGTGGTGATGAATTTTTTTACAAGCAGTATAAACTTACTTCAACTTCTGTCGAGTTGCTTCTGTCTCTAATAGCGATGATACCGTGAGGTTGAGATGGAGCAATCTGACTTCTTACTAGATGGGGATAATACAGCCTGTCCTACAATATTAATGTAATTAATAATATTAATAATATTCTACCACATTTACACAACGCCATCTAGTCACAAACTAAACAGAGCTTATACTATGGGTACTAGACAACTGATATAAATACATATTATGTAAAAAAAATGTAAATATATACATGTTATAAATAGTAACACCCAGACCAGATCAAAAATAAAATTTTCAAGCATACAAATGTTTGAATTGAGCGGGAATCGATCCCGCGATACATAAACCACTACGCCATCTGGCCGCATTTAAAATAATATTTCGTTTTGTTTTTTTTTTATTTATTTACCAATTTAAATATAAAGTTATAAAAACATACTGTAACTGTGTAATATTGTACAATAAATTAAGGAATGAATATATAATGAATCAATTCATTTAGATTTATAATTTGATTATTTTGATACAATAATCGATAACTAAGCATGTCTATCTGTTTTAGTATTTCTTTGCCGTTCTCTAATCTTACATTTAAATGAAGATAAAGTAATGATCTGTAACAGTTTTGATAAGTTTAGAACAGTTTATACATCTAAATTAATACATTTAAAACCATCAATATTCATTCTACAAGTCCCCAAATTATAAAGAAAATTATGTAGGTATGAAATTTGACATTCAAAATAAAACATTAAGTAGTACAATAAGTAATTGACAATTTTTTTGGGACTAATCAATCTCACACACTCAATACTGAAACTCCTGTAAACCAGGACATACAGGGTGGCGCAATAGAACGTGCATATTGCATCATCTTTTTTCGCGGGGTAGAAAGTGCGCGGGCGGGGGGAGCCTGCATCGTTGGGTAGGCGGGCTCATGGAGTTTTAGTCACTATGAGTCACTTCGACGGGAAGCGTCGCGCATTTTGCGTGCGCGCATTTTACGAGAACTCTCGTTCATACATCGTTACTAGGCGTTTATATTGTTCTGAATATGGACTACGGCAAATTAGTAAAGCTCCGAGTGCTAATTTAATTAAAATATGGGTACAGCGTTTTGAAGAGACTGGTTCAACGTTTAAACCACAAGCAAAAGGTTGTCCAAGAACATCTAGGACCGACGACAATATTGAGAGAGTTATGCAGTCTGTACGAGGAGATCCACAAATGTCTACTCGTAAGAGATCGTCTGTCTTACACTTATCGCGACGAAGTTTGCAACGAATTTTAAACTTGGATCTTAAACTGCATCCTTACAAGCTGCAGTTAACACAAGAATTGAAAGAGTCTGACTTCGGAGCAAGGCTCGCATTTGCTAATGAAATGCTTAATCGATTTTCCAATTTTGACAATATCCTTTTCTCAGATGAGGCCCACTTCCATATCAATGGGTTCGTAAACCGTCAAAATTGTCGTTACTGGAACAGTGAGAATCCCAAACTCAAGCACCAGAAACCACTGCATAGTCCTAAAGTGACAGTATGGGCAGCAATCTCTGGTAGAGGAATAATTGGACCGTTTTTCTTTGAAAATGCGCGGGGGCAAAACGTCACTGTTAATACCGAACGCTATGTTGCGATGTTGGAAGGTTTTTTGGCTCCAGAGCTTGAAAATTCAAGAATAGTGAATTCTAGGACTTGGTTTCAACAAGACGGAGCTACCTGTCACACATCAAATGACTCCATGGCGGTTGTGAAACAGATGTTCCCTGGCAGACTGATTTCGAAAAGAGGTGATATCCCATGGCCCCCACGTAGTCCAGACGTGACGCCTCCTGACTTTTTTTTGTGGGGATACCTCAAGAACAAAGTCTACAGTAATAATCCGAAAAACAACGATCAGCTCAAGGAGAATATCCGTGGTGAAATGGCAGCAATTACACCAGCATTACTGAAGAAAGTTTTCAATAACTTCCGTTTGCGATTAGAGGAGTGTCGTCGTAGAGAGGGTCATCATTTAGACGATGTTATTTTTAAAAAATAAACTTCAGTTATTTCTTAATAATACCTCAGTTTTATTTTAACTATACCTTTTGTATTTATTTTCTAATCAATATTTTAAATATGCACGTTCTATTGCGCCACCCTGTATAAAGGAAGAACTGAACAATTCAACACTTCTTTTAAAGTAGTATAAACTTACCTGTTCTGTTAAGTTATTTCTCGCTGCGTGCGAACTACAAGCCTGGTTTCTGAGCTGAAACTAAAGTTATTGGTTATCTTAAAAGAATTTTAGTGTTTCGAGAAAATTAAATAATATATTATAAGGTGCAAAAATAGATTCTACTGGTATCTAGATTGAGTATAAATATATACACATAAGAGAGGGATTAAACAATTTGGCAATTATTTTAAAGTTGTATAATCTTACTTGAGCTTCTGCCGAGCTGCAGCTACTATTCGTGGCATCGTGAGGTGGCGGTGGAACAATATTGCTTGCCATAAGCGTATCATATAGTAGTCTCTATAAAATTAGTATAATTTAAATTAATATTTCGTTTTCGTGAGTTTTTCTACTTATTTACCAAATTAAACTCCATGTTTAATTTGGTAAATAAATAGAAAAACAGAAATAAATAACATAATGGACTACAATGTAACAAACTATATTTTATACATATTTTTTTTAGAGGAATACATTAAACTAATGTACATTAGCTTTAGCCCGCGGCTCCGCCCGCGTGTATGTTTCAGGTTATCACGGGAAAAAGTAACCTACGTCATTCTACGCAATATACAAAGTATCTCCATCTCAAATTGCATTTAAATCGGTTCAGAGCTTTAACCGTAAAAACAAACTAACACACATTCGCATTTATAATATTAGTTAGGATGTATAAATAGCGGCTTTATCGCTAAAAAGTAATTTGTTACAAGCAACCTTTAGATGGACAAAAAATCTTAATATTTTGACTATGTTATATGATTATAAACACTATGTTTCATGCGAGAACTACGACGGCTGAAGAGAACTACGACGGAGAATAACACACATAAGAGTGAGACTGTAGGTACAACTCAGCACTTATTTTTTACAGTAGTACAAACTTACGTCAGATTCTGTCAAGTTGTTTTTTGCTCCATGGTATTTGCTGAGCAGGTTATTTAGCTGAAATTAAAGTTATCGGTTATATTAAGAGATTTTAGTGTACTTATCTAAAAATTAAATAACATTTTAGGTCAGGTATCTAACTTGATTACTTGAGTGTGAGTAAAAATTAACTTACGTCTGTTTTCAAGTCCTGTAATATGCTGGATGTGGATCCGTCTAAATTACTACTCGTAGCGCGAGGTGGAGACGGACTCGGGCTTCTTCGTACTTGTCGTACTTGCAAATTAAGCAGTTTGCTCTAAAACATTTATAAAATCTGTATAAATAAAAATGAATCCCCGAAATATATTTACGCACATAACTTCCGAACGATGGCACCAAATTGGATAATTCTTTTTTGTGTTCGTTATTGGTCAGGAAGAGGTTTGTATAAAGGAAAATTTAAAAAATCAAACAGTTTTTTTATCTCTTAATATGAACAGTGAGTGAGTGAACGACACCGAAGCCTGAGAGATCTATACTAATATTATAAAGAGGTAAAGTTTGTGTGTCGATATGTTCGGGGTAATCTCAAGAACTGCGAGTTTGAATCAAAAAAATATTTTTGTGAATTCTTTTAGTTGAATAGCCCTTTTTGTAAGTTATTTATTAATCATGTAGCAAATAAAACAGATGGTCTTTGCGACTTTCTTCATCACTCTGAAGCAAATCGCAAACAACCTCTGTTTTATTTGACGTTTTTAACGATCCGGCACGTCTGACAATGGAAATTATATAAACCCAGATTTTTTCTTTATAGAATATCTGCGTATTCGGATACTAAAAACAATATCTCGCACATCACTAACTATCAATACTGTTAAGTAGTAAAGTATATACATACACATTAAAATACACGTCATGTAATGTGAAAACATATAATTGTTTTAGTTTTTTCACATTACATTCATTGTTTTTTTGGTAATTTTTTTAACGTTACAGGACATGTTTCATCGCACGTTTATCTCATACAAAACTATTCTTTTAAACATTGTTGGAGTTAGGTGGGCCTTGTCCTTGCCCCAAAATAATATATTAATTAATGGTACACATGTTGAACCTGCTTAACTTGTCTTATCTTATATATATACATCGAATTAAATGTTCTTTATGTCTGTCTGATGGAACTGCACGACTCCTTCGCAATAAGTTCGCTCTACGATCAAGAGTTAAAAGACTTGTAGCTTAGCATAATGAATAAATATTGTAGTAATTAAGCATCTACGAGTATAGTAATTTAATTATTATATTTACTTTTAAAGGCTTGGGTACTTACAGCATTTGTGTCTTTAGCTTGTAATATAGTTTCTATACAAACTTTTAAAACATTTTGAAGATCTTCGTTCTGACGTTCCAATGCTTCCTTTTGTTCCATGATGTATAATTTATCTTCTGTAAGCAGATATTTTCGGTAACAATTAAATTAAGAGTATTCCAACAATTATTTTCTAAAATTTTATACTTTTAACGGTTAAAAGAGTATTATAAAGAAAAAGAACAGAAAATGTTAAAAGAATATTGACAAGAATAGTTACAAACCAAACGATAAAAAAAAAAAATATTAGCCTAGATTTTACTCATACGGAACCAGAAAATAAATCCACTTCGGTGCGAATAGAGTTGGCGAAAGTTAGCATGCGAGATGTAGATTAGTTCGACTGTGTTGCAGAACACAAGTTTTCCGGTTTGATAAGCGGCTGCCAGTACGTGGAATACAAAATAAAATTTCTCTAAAAGTTCGGACTACCCCTATACTCCCGGAAACTGGAATCCCCTATTAGTCCATTTATTAACTTTAATAAAAAATATGACATCCAAGACCTTTCCTCGTGCGTTTAAGGATAACATTTTATAATGATTTAACCTAGCATTATAAGAATTTAAAAGCCGGCATCTATTATCGGAATAACATAAGTTATATAGAAACATTTTTTACACTAGTTCTATCCTATCGGAATGTACCTAATAAACTGGACTCCACCCCGTACTACAATATTTCAGGATATTTCGAATAACGCTGTTGTAAATAAGAATAGTTAAGCTAGGTACTATGAAGATTTTTATTTCCATGGTTAGGAAACCTGACAATTTTAAAGCCCTGTTTACTATAAAATCATAATGACTTTTAAAATTCAACTTATTATCTAAAATTACACCTAAATGTCTAATGTTATCGACTTCTTCGTGCGGCTTGTCGTTAACAGAGTAACAAAGGTGATATGATTTACTTTTTCTGGTTTATCTGATGAAGAAGTATTTATTTTGATTTAATGACATTTTATTTTGTTGGCTCCAATTATACACATTAGATATTCCTAATTGAAGTTCAGTCATGTTGGACTCATTAGATTTAGCTCTATAAATTTTTAAATCATCAGCAAAGAGTTTATATCTAGATTTAATTGTGCTACCTAAATCATTGACGAAAACCAGAAAGAGCTCTACTCTTTTCTAGGACCTCTGTCCTAGATGTGATCCCTGAGGTATGCCTAAACGAATGAAACATTTTCTGAACTTGAAACCCTTAAGACAATCGTATTTATCGGAACTTACCAGTTGTGATCGGTTCTTTAAATACGAATTTTCGATACGATTCTTATTCTTTAAATACTGTGGATATGTAAGAAATTATAATAATATTTGACATTTGAGGTTGGACAATGTCGATTTTTTTGGATTGGAAAAGCCATGCCAAGCCTTTAATGGTCCACTCCTTAGAAAGAAGGTGTTGGCCTACTATACCACGCTGGCCAGACGGTTAGGTACAGGGTTTGTGTCAAATTTTCCTTCTTTTTGCATTGCTGGTGTCCTGTGTTGTTTTGCGCCCTTAGTCGGCTTTTACGACACCCACGGGATGAATTGGGGTAGTGGCATTCCGTATTCTTAATCCGTCACTACACGGACAACAATGTTTATAGAAGAATATTCCGTAATCTGGTATTTGTATTACGTCAAGCGAATAAATTTACAAATATAAGAACTTTAAAAAGCATTTTTGGAAGCGCTTGGCAGGAGTCGTGTGCGCCCTGATTTGCTGCACGGGTTTCTTCCTCTGACGCATGCTCTGCTTGTACTTAGCGTGCTGTTTGACAGAGTTTACATGTTGTTGACATTGGTTGACATAGTGAGTAGGTTTTCATAGGCTTCTTATTCTTTCCATATACCATTTATTGGGTACCATGTTTTAAGGTGTTACCTTTAATGATGGCTGTGTATGGTGTATATAATAAATATAAAAAATACTTAAAAATGCGTTGCAAGTCAAAAAATGACACGTTATTTGGTGCTATAATATAATAATATTATTTGGACACTTATTGGAATAAAAACTTGATTAGTATCCGTATTAACAGACATTATTATTATTATCCGAATTAAGACGTATTATACGAATACTGCTTATTATTGGTGTCTATACGTCGACATACTTGATTAAAGATAGGGCACATCACTAACTATAATGTATTGCAATCAATGAAATGACCGTGCAATTAAAAAGTGATTGCTTCAGTGTTATGTTGCGGCAAGGTATTAGGGGTTCGATTCCGACGCGACGATGGCGTAATGGTTTAAGCGGTTGTGGTTTTGACGCCGATATGGCATAAATGATACAGATAAAATTATAAAAATATTTAAAAATATTAAATTGATGACTAATTTGCTATTAAATTGCATTACATTCCAATTAAAATATCAAAAATCGTATTAAAAATATTTACCACACTAATGAATTTCTGAAGTGATATGACCACAGTCATATCATATAGTCATTTAAAGTAGAGTACTTTATAAAATACTAATTTTTTTAAAGTACTTTATTTAAAAAAAAAAAACATTGACGGAGGTAAAACACTGCTACTAGTCAATTTTTTAATGTAGCACTAAATAAATAAGTGGAGCCATATAAACACAGCTCAACCTAAAAATTTCTAGGCGAGGTACTGGTAATTCAAAATACGAGTGAGTATTTTTAGGTTTGTTGGTATTGTCCTTGAGTTCATAGAGCTCTTTATTGCACTACACAAATTCAGCTACTTCGTAGATGAGCCTGCTATTGACGGTCAACAGATTATGAGATACAAAAACAGCCCTAAATGAATCTGTCCATTTCAAACCGAATATAGCACGAAGCGATTTTATTTGCGCTAAAAATACTCGTGCTAGTTCTGATGAGTAACCCCAAACAATAATTAGCAACAGCAAAAATATGCGTAGTAGACCATTAAAGCAGTCTCCCTCGAAACAACCTATTTAACTTTTTTTTAATGCAAATACAAACTTATTGATCTTTTTGCAAACATTTCCTATGCGATACTTCTACATCAGATGTTCGTTCATTGTAACACCTAGAAATGTTGTGCCCTGTATTTGTTCTATTTCTTGACCATTATAATTAAATGTAATATCAAATTGTTTTGTTTTTGCTGTTCTAAAATAACTTCAATATTTTCTCTCACACAGTTTACAATCATATAATAGGTCTTGACCTATGAAATTGCCGTTTTGTATGCAATAAGTGAAAGTACTTATTTTTTCAAACTTTTTTATTTCTGTTAGTCGAAGTAATCACCTATGCAATCGACGCATCTTTGCCAACGCATTGGCAGTTTATTGATGCCCTTCTTGTAAAAATCAGCTGGACGGGAGGCAACAAACTCTTCAAAGGCATTTTGTACTGCCTCTCGAGAATTGATTTTTTTACCCACTAAAAGTTGTCTAAATTTTGGAAAAAGTAATAGTCGGTAGGTGCAAGGTTAAGTGTGTTTAAGGAGGGTTTTCCGAAATGACGTCCACTAGGTGGCAGCACTAATAGGTCAGGTCCAGACAACTTTCTAAAGTGTCAGAGCGCCTAGGTTTTCTAAATCGTGTTTGAATCTTATACATTAAAAGAAAATAACAAGTACAATAAATATTTTCTCAGAATCGAAATGCCCCAATGGTGTACGGGACTGTACGGATACTGGAATAAATGAGTGTCAACAATAGAAATTAAAACTGGTAAAATAGGCTGAAAATACACTTTGCATCTACTTTTATGGTAGTTAATTATAAATACATTATAACAGAATACAGTTGCAAGCAATTTTCGCTCATTTCTCTAAAATCGTGTTTTATGGCTTCTGGCAATGACGCTGATCGACGAATATCAAAAAATAAATTAGATATTGAGGAAGGTTGAAAATTGCTTGCAGCTATTTTTTTAAAGAGACAACATTTTAGTGAAACATCTTTAAGGGAGTTAATTGCTAGTAACTATTTTGTACTATACCGATGTACTGGGAAATACTTGAAAAAAATTGTTTTATTTATTTGCCACCTTAACCACAGGCGTATAAGCAAACGTTAGTTCAGTGTTCAATGTGGCGTCAAAATCCAGTTCAACATAGCGACTCGTGACAATAACAATCTCCAAAATGGGTAAATGCAGTTAAAGAATGCGATTAAAGGTCACAAAACTATAATAAATCAAACAGAATAATTTCAACACGCAAATACAAATATATTGTTTATGTATTGATATTGACGTAAATAACCTTATAATCGAAATGTTATATATAATCGCTATATAACATTTAGAATTGTAATTAATATACAATGTCACCACTAACATATTGTGTTGGTTTTCCCGCGTTAGTGGGCGAATTTGTAATCTATGAAAAAGAAACTGTGTTCTCTGTTGTTAAATATTTTGATAATAAATTACTGTACTGGTGGCTGATAAGATTAGGCTGATCTTCTTTTTACAAAAATTGGTTGTTATGAGTAAGATTGCAAATGGTAGTCAACACTGGCCCGCCATCGCATGTTGAAGTTGCACGGATAACTATGTAACCAAATAATAATACTTAACTAAAACTAAAATATTTTAAACAATACAACAGTAGTTGGGGGGGGGGGGGGGGGGCATTTGGTGCGAGGCGCGAACCGGCATGGCGGCAGGGTCCCGGCGGGTGCTTAAGCGCACAGATAACAATAGCAGGTAGCTAGGTTGTTTATTGTAACTGTCAGTAAAAGAAATGTGCACCTATTAGGCCAAACGTTGTTCGTAAAAATAACGACTTTTGTAATTTTAATCATATGTATGTACCAGCTCTTTCTTTCCTTTACTTAAAAAAAAACACATTTCGACCGTTATATGTTGCTAATTATTTATCATTATCATTAAAACTTGGGCTCTAATATCTACCGATGATTTAACACTAAAATAATCTATAAATAGTTATGTTTTTTATATTTGAACAGTTTGTATTCATCCAGTACTTTACGACACGAGACTACTGTATTGTTGTACATTTTGACATCTCCATAGATTTATCTTCGGAACTGTCTATGTCCAGCAGTGGACTATTAGAGGCTGTTGATGATCATAAACTG